GCTGATCAGAGCAGACTGCAATGAAAGAGCTAATGAAAGAATGAAAGCTTGGCAGGAAGCACGAAAGGCTCACAATCCCACAATCAATTTTTCAACTTTGTTGATCCATTCAACCGACTGTTGCTCGAACAGGAATTCACAAAGGAAGCCTTTTGCCACGATGTTGTCCATGCTCTCAGGTCCCGACCCAGCGGCTGCATCCGTCGGATGCAGCCTGTCTCCCAAGCCCAGCCTCTCACCCAAGGGTCCATCGACTCCCAAGGCAAACCGCATCAAGAATATAATGACGCTCAATTCGATGGAAGATCTGCAGCTTGCAATGGAAGAATCTTGCCTGGAGGCGGGAAACGATCCCAAGAAACGCAGCAGCAGCGGTAGCCGCCGTAAGAATGGCCTTTCTCGCAATGGAAGCTCTCGAAATCTTACTCGGGGTGGAAGCTCTCGAAATGTGTCTCGTACATGCAGTGCAAGCTCTCAAAAAGTGTCTCGTACATGCAGTGCTGGTTCTCGGAATGTGTCTCGTACATGCAGTACAAGTTCTCGAACTCATGGCAAATACTCTGAGGGCAAGAATGGCAAGGGACGCAGCAGTTTGTCCCGCAGTGGTAGTTCTCGAAGCTTGAAGAGTTCGTCTAGAGGTGGGAGTCATTCCAGTCTCGCAGACCTCGCTTCCGGAGTGGGCAAAGGTGTTGTTCATGGGTTGGAAAACGTGAGCAACGCAACTTGGGGTGGCCTGGAAACCATGGGTGTGGTCGATAATGGACCCACCATGCAAGATCACTTGTCCGACATTGAAGCTTTCTGCCGCGTTTTGAAGGACACCAAGCGTGATGCTCGGGATCAACTTCTCAGGGATGCGATGATTCAAAAAGCCGCAAGTGGGAAAAGATCCTCCAAATCATCCAACAAGAACCAAGGACCAAGCAATCACTGAACAAGCAGAAGGCGCAGTACATTTCCTCGGTGCGTTCGTCTTCAAGTGCACATCTGCACAGCCATCACCGTTTTATTAGAGAAGTAGAAATTTTCCTCCACAACACAGAGCACACTATAAACTTTGCCATCTGACTAATCTTGCATTCCCTAGCTAGATAGAGGCGGGTATCAAAGAGGTTTGGTTGCCCTTTTCTTCGAGAGCTCCCTTTGATCCCACTTGCTACTTCAGATTCAAGGCGGAATCAACTATAATAAAACCCACCATTGAGCTGGCTCGGCGGCTACCGTAGCAAGTATGGTCAAAAAGATTTCCGATGCTGCAGACACTAAAAAAGCCTGTGGGGTAAGAAGGAGAAGGGGCGGAGGTAACTTCAATGGAGTGGAGTCTCGTGTCTTTGTTTGCCCGACAAGTACCACTTCGGAGCCAAGTTGTGCTAGTTCCATACCCAGGTTGATTTTAGATGCATGACTTCCCCGGGGCCTGGGCCGCTTACACAGTTAGAGTAAAATTTAATGTAGTCGATCAGTACCTGAAAATAAGAAAAATATTGAAAGGGCCCGAAATCGCGATTTACAAGTAATTCTGCTTCATACTTGGGTTTCGATTTTATATTTGGGTTTCGATTTTATATTTCGATTTCGATTTTATATTTAGGTATCGGCTTGATTTTACTAGTTATTTACCATAGTAATTTGGTTTCGGTTTTATATTAGGTTTCGGTTTTATATTTAGGTTTCGGTTTTATATTTAGGTTTGGAATTGATCAATTTAATTGGATTCTTAAAATCCTGATTTCGGGCCTTTCAATAGCTGAAAGAAAAATTCCTAACAGGTTTTGGTACGATTCTGGCATTACATAGCGAGCAGCAAAAGCCACACTTTCTAGCTAGTTATCTACTCTATGTTGTTATTACCATGCATTGTTTAGAAAACCTCATCATTAAACACACACAGCAGGGCCCCAGTACCAACAACTCAGGGCAACATGAAACAGACGTTGCAAATGACCAGGAACTTATCTAGCCAAATAGGTCGCTACAGGAATCATTGTCGAAGCCGTCTTGATCAGGAGGAGTCACGACGACAAAGTCGGACCCAGTAAAATCCTTGACTGGAGTTGTAGGCTGTGCTGCAGCAGACTGCACGCTACCCCTGATGATAGAGGATGAATCATCGTCAGTAGGATTGGAGTAACACCCCGGCAGCAAGCGAATACCCCACTGGCGATAGAAATTGTTGGCGCCTTTTGCAGCCAATGCAATGGGATCGGGGGCATTCGATTGTTGGATGCAGGCCTTGAAGACATTCTTCTTTTCTTGCCCGAAATGATTTTTGGTCGGTGGTAAGGGAACTGAGAAGCTCCGCGTCTCTAGCTCATCAATGAGTTTAGTGATCCCGTTGACGATGTTGTCATGGTCTTGATTCCGACCAAGCTGCTGGGGCTTTTCTTTGACGATGTATTCATTGACGGCGGAAGCCAGATCAAGGATTCTAACCTTGAAATTTGAACTCGATCCACGCGTATGCAAATCTGATAGTGCAAGACCCATCTCACCCAAGCCCTTTGCTACTTTTTTGAGGTCCTCTGTAGTGCAGATGTCGATTTCTTCTCCTAGGTGCAGCTTGTTGAAAAGGGCTTCTTCAGCCTATTCGGCACTGAATTTGGAGGGCCCATCCTTCTAAATATTGCCCTTTCCTTGGACCTCAGGGATTGTCTCGCCAGCAAATATTGCAACATCGTAGGTCTGACCCGCCCAATTCACCATTTCGTCAGGTTGTATGATGGGAAAGATCACCCAGTTACAACCCTTGTCGTAGTATTGATCGTGGGGGTTTGGGACGTACAAAATATTTCGGTTGTCACTCCTCATTCCCTTCTCGCCTCCCGAGACACCATTAGCTAGGATCACGAGGGCTTTGTAGATATGATCTTTCGTCTTTTCTTCTTTTCTGCGTCATTTGCCTCATTGATTTGCTTCGCCACAAGTTCGTCAATGTTGCTGATCATCCATCCATAAACGAGGGCCCACTAGGCCGAGCAATTCGCACTGTCCGATCCCAGGTGTCCCTTATGGCCGTCCTTTCTCTCAATAATGCAAGCTTTAGGATCTGCCATTTCCGTTGCTTTTCCTCCAGACGAAGGAATGGCAGCAATCCTATTCTTTGGCGGTCCAGAGGTTGGGGTCAACCTTCCGGAGGCGGGTGCTCCGCCAGCACTGGATGTTGATGAGGCCAAAGAATTGAAATCGGACATTGAATTGTCGCCTTGACTCAAATGATTTCCAAACAACTGCCTCTGTTGATCATACAGACCCAACGGAGACTTGCGCTGAAATGTGTCAGCCTTGCCTTGAATGCTTTTTATATTCCTTTCTTCGGCATTTGCTTTTGGAAAGATGTCGGATGACTTGGCAAAATATTTGCCACTGCCCAATTCATGCTCTAATTTTCCTTTAGCATCCTGTAATTTTCCTTTAGCATCCTGTAATGCCACCAAGTCCACTAGAACCTGAATAAGTGCGTCCTTGTCTGGGTTTGTCCCCGTCAAAGGCTTCTGGTGTTTCTTTAAGACCTTCAATATCCCCCTTTGCGTCTGCGATGTCTTTCTTTACCCTCGTGAGGCGATCAAGAGTGTAGCCTTGGATAGTAATCTGAGAAGTCATAGCTACCATGGTACAACTAACAAAGCAAATATCACGAAGGGGATGAGCAAATGTTGCTATAGGGCTGTAGTGTACTCCATTAGATACCGTAGCTTTGGATAGTTATGGTTGGTATCCTCTAGAAGTCAGGTACACTATGGTACCGGTAGCAAACGGAACAAAATGTCAGTTGAAAACTTAAATTGCGTATTTGGCGAGCAAATGATACTAATTGGATTGGATTGGTTTGAATTGGATTAGATTGGATTGAATTGGATACATAATGGTACTGTTGTTACTATAGTAAATGTAATTCAATTCAATGCAATCCAATGCAATCCAATGCAATCCAATGCAATCCAATGCAATCCAATCAAAAATATCTGGCCAAAGCAAAAGCTTCCATTAATCGAATCATTCACTTTTAGCACACGCTGTACCGGCAGCTTCCTGTTTTGCTTTGTTTATCTCAATTTACCGGTAACTCTGCTAGTACAGTAGCAACCAAGGCAATGTAGCGCCATGAGCAAGTTTGCCCATCCCCCAACAACAAGCAGTGTAGCAAAAGCAAGAAGAGTTTTGAGTTATTGTACAGTAGTACAGGGCGTAGTGCGGTAGGTCGTTGCTCGTGCTACGAATCGATTCGATTTGACGATTGATTCTTATCTGGATGCAGGTCTGCGCGCTAGCGCAATGCAATCGTACTAGTAATCCCTGCAACCGTCAGCGTTTCTAATGATGTGGGTCTCAAAGGCTGCCCTGCTCTCTCAACAGTACTTCACGGATGTCAAATCATGTGTTCGGTCGGTCGGGGTGTCACTTTTTTACGGGAAGCCGAATCGAATCGAGGAGCTTCCCCTCTGAATCTGTCACTACAAGAACAACAACACTAATAGCAACAAACACAACCAATCGGTCATACCTATACCATTACACTACCTATTAGACCCATCGGAAGCATTGAAACGAAGCGAAAGGACCTCAGGAAGCCTGTTATCTGTTATTTTGTTGAAGAGTACTGTTTTACTATAGGATTCCACTCAACGTCATCACTGAAAACATACACCTCTCTTTATCCCTCTTTCAACTCCCTCTAGTCGACAGGATCGATACCTCCTATCTCCTGCACCTCTACTATCAAGCGACTATCAATCTGGCCTTCTCCGGTTCAGATCAGAAAGCCATCCCAATAGAAATCCTACGATATCGGGCAGGTTTTCTCTTCTCGGCCGCCGACGACCAAGTTGGAAGAAATTGAACACAACAAGAACTTTAAAGGTATAGAACTGAAAGCCATCCCAATTGAAATCCGATTACGTTGGGCAGGTTCTCCGATCTCGACCGTCAAAACCACCATTGTCGATCCTTTTCTTTTTCGTACGATCGAATCTTCCGCAACAACAACAGGCTCCGGTTAACCTTACCCCTAAGGCAACCTGGACTCACCGAATCCTCAATCGAATCGATCTTATCGAATCGAATCCAAAACTCGCTACTCCGTGAATCGATCTTCCCCCACGACCGTACCTCTACTCCGTACCTCTTCCTCCGTACGCAGCCTACTATCATCAAGCAGGACTTCACGAGATACCTGCAGTGACCGTCGAGAACAGAAACACACTGTATTTCTTACTTTCTCACCGGCCACTATTGGTTTCTCCCGACGTCCTAGTTGGAACTGATCCTACTGATCCAACCAGTCCTATCCCTATACCGACTGATTGACTGATCGACACCCACTGTTACACCCCTCCATTGATATCTAACTCCTCCCCAAGAGGAACAACAAACAACAACAGAGTTCCTGTACGGACTTGAGTTGGTTACAAGTTGGATACTGCCTCAGCTTTTTCGTCGGAGTTACTGAGCATAGTTTCCTTCCTTGGACATATCAACCAGGCTTGGCTGACATTTTCAGAGTCTCTGGCAGCCCCTCCCCCCGGGATATCCAACTCCTCTCCAAAAGGATCCTACCACCCACAAGAACAACTACAAAAGCTGTCCCTCTAGCGTGTTTGGCTAGATTGTGCACACTCTCCATTGACAACAGCCACCTCCGCTCCTTACCTCTCTCCCTACTGAGTTGGTAGCTCCAAAGGATTGATCCCAGACCAGAACTCAGCGTGGTGTGTGCATAGTATATTAATACATAACTGACCAACTCTTCTCTCCTTGATTGTAGAGTGACTCTTCAGTGACATCCACTGTATCTGAGCTGAATAGAGTACCCTCTCCAAATCTTTGGCTTGACTCTCTGTTACACGGTGGACCCTGCAACAGATTGAGTACCAGCCTTTTAGACAACACAGTGCCATCAGTAACACAGCCCCACATCCAACAACAACCCTTGATTACCCACCACTGCTCTATCTGGCTATAGCGTGATTTCTCCAGTTTTCCCTGAATGAATCCCTAACAGCCTTTTGCTCTGATAGCCATTCTTCTCCTGCAGGTAGTGGTAATAACCTGCACAACTGAAGCTTCACAGCCTTTGTATCCAGTGGACAACAACCCCAACAACTTGATATAAACCTTGATTACCAGTGTCTCAGTGCAATTGCCCCTTAATAAACCCTTCTACACCAATCCTCTCGCCACCGGTGTGAACAAGCAACCTCCCATTGCCTGAGTTTGCAGCAATCGACACTACAGTCAACAACTCCAGGATCACAACTCGTCCAACCAACCCACTTACCACCCACGCCATGACTACCCCATTCTAAGCATAATCTTCACTCAAACCCAAGGTCCTCCCAGACATCCCCCACGATCCCCACACTTCCACTCACACCAACACATAGGTCACCAACCTCCGCAGACTACCAACACCTAATCCCTCTAGATGATCAGCCAAATAGCTCCTAGACGCATGCAGCCATTTTGAGGATCACACCTTTCTGATCACACCCTACCCTATCAGGGAGGATGCGTTTTGTTCTCACTCTTGAACAGAGACATCGCCTCTATCCTACAAAACAGCAATATATGGCCATTCAACCATGCCACTCGGGATTCCCAACTCGCTACAGACTAACACTACACACCATCCAGCAGATCTCCCCTCCGCCTGGCACACAGCCACACCCAGTGCCCGAGCATTACTCCTTACTCCTCTCCGACAATCATACAACGCCCATTTTCGTGGAACACCACATAGGACTTACACCTTGCGGCCAAGCCATATCAAACCTCACTGTGCCTCCCTCCTGGGAACCAAAGACTGCCAGTGTGTCATTTTACCCCATCTTCTGCCTGCCTGTTGGCCTCTATCTAACAATTTTTTTGCATTGGATGGGTTACAACCTGCTCTGGTCCAGCCTAAGGAGTACCACATCCTACGGGCTAAATAGCAAAAGGCATCTTGCCGTATGCCATGCCAAGGCATCTTGTCCACAGGGCTTGGTGACTTGATCACCCAGACACACTCACTGGCGAGCACTCTTTGGTCTTGCAATCTAACTGTTCCTCACGGCCCCTTTGGTGATAATGGTTTCAATACCGACAAAAATTCTGTGTAAGCCCCTGTAAACCAGGTTTTGTGCTGCAGGTTCTCTATCATTGTGCTCACCCCCTACCCAGGCATCTGTCTACTTGGTGCTAGCTCCACGTTGGGCCAGGCCATGAGAGAGCTAAGTAGAAGTGACGACGTAATCAGCTAGTAGGGGAATCCCCCACCGACTTGCCCGCGTGCAAATAAAGTTCAAGCTCCGAGACAAAATGCACTAACGCTAAAAGCTAGTGTTAAGATCTTTCGAGTGTTTGTGTTTGAGAGAATGAAAGTTATGAGAGAGATTAGAAACCTATGAATACTAGAGGTCACGATGATGAGATCTAACCGTATCAAAGGAATTCGTAGATTCTGGTGCTCTCTGTTGCCGCGGGAGGATATAAAGTGTGATAGAGTAGGG